CTGTTAATCTAAATGCTAATTATCTTGACTTAATATACTCTATTGCTTCTCGGCACTCTTCTTAAATTCCGCCTACTATCAACACTTCTATTAATATAATACAAATCTCAGATATCTTTGAAATTGACACTTCAACTGATACTCTTTAATTCATTGCTTATTATAACTATAACTACTTAGAACTCTCTTTCTATACAGATGGTTTAGTTATTAAACTTGAAACAAATCAATGCTCCATAGGATTAGTTAGATACAAATTCAAAATAATAATATTGTGCATTCCTTTCAAGCACAAATTAAATTTTGAACATGCTTTTTCAAAGCTGAACTCACTACCATCCTATCCGTACTTATTATAGCACTTAGAAACTGCATAGTTCACATATATATAGACCCATAGTCTGTAATATCCAAATTCAACAATACTAATTAATTTTCTCTTGCTCTATCATTCATACGAACACTATATCACTCACTATGGTATACTTTAATTAACTTTATTAACTCATACAACTTGCAAGTTGTCTTTCATAAGATCAATGCTCATCAAGATGATGAATTTAACAACCAAGCTGATTAACTAGCTCAATATCATATTATCGCACCTTATTTAATATTTAAACCTTACAATATATATAATTCAAACTATACTCTTTTCTTTGTGAACTCTCTAGTCGAATTACCAATTCGATGGTTTACTCAAACTATCTATCACATTTATATCTATACATTTTGGTCATTGCAAAACCAATTCTAACAATAGTCTTAGATTTCTAACCAGATTCACTGATATGCTACCTGGCTATATATCAACAATAATCAAAAGATCTCTAACTACAAATATAGTTTTTAGTCATCTACTCTAAAGTCCTTTCATATTAAAATCTTACTTGATGACTTGCCTACTCCTTATATTCTACATAAATGAAACTCTAAATATCTATCTATATGCCATCAATATGATCAAACCAGTATTATGCTTTACTGGATTATGTGCCCAACTTTTCAGCTTCTTCAAAACCTAATTAATAGTTCATTTCAGTCAACGATCAATATATCTAATCTTGATCTTTCTACTCAATCTATTACTGATATACATCAGCTTATTAAAAATCTTCAGTGTATACAAATTCATAACTCATCAAACTCTCTATTTTTCTTATTAACACTTTCTGGTCTTATCTCTTCTGAAATTATATTAGCTCTTGCTGATATTATATTATCTAACAAAACTGCTATTTCACTTACTGTTAAATTTTTATTACATCTTAACAAACAAATTTACAACTCTATCTGGATCCCATATTGTATTTCTAGATCTCAAACTAATATTTCTATCTATTCGCTACCTTCTTTACCCACTTTATCTTACCAACCTCGACCTTCATTTCATTCTATAGCTTATCCCAAGTTATTATTATAGTACTCACAATGGATCAAATATCAATTTACCTTACACAACTTACTTAATCTCCAAATCTAGATAAGCTTTGGCCACTCTGATAGGTTTAGGCCACAGATAATTATGTTATTATAATATTGTGTCTGAGTCTCTAGTCTTAGGTATTCTCTAGATATGAGGTTCAAATATAATTTCTTTGTATTTTGTAAAGAAACTCAATTAAATTTCAATAAAGTTAGAGGCATAGCCTCATCTTTAAAATTAAAAAAAAATTTATATTTACAATAATTTATATATCATATTATACTATAATCTTTGTTTAGCTAACTAACAAATTATTTATTAAATTAGTTTTAATAAATATAAAAATTCTAAATAAGTACTATAAATTTTTTTTTAAATCTAGATATAATTAATTTTTTTGATTTTAATATACAGTTATTCTTCTTTATAATATATAGTTTGTTTTATATAAAAAAAATATAAAAATAAAATTTTAATAGTATTGTGGTTATATAAAGTTTTTTTTAATAAATAAATTGCCAATCAAAACTACAATATTTCTCTGCTGCTCTTTTTTTTTATTTTTTTTGTCAAAAAGTAGAGGATTTGGCTACCTTATTTCAAAAAATTGGTATTGTTTACCACTTTTATTTTTGAAAAATCTCGAGTTATGATATAACAAATAAGGAATACAATAATCATGTTTGAAGAAGAAAATTCTAATTTGGTTAAATCAAAGTACTTAATAAAAAGCCCATATACAGTTTAGATTTTGATAAAACAAGATTTGAAATAAAGCTTATAAAAAATCTGGCTTGAAAAAAATAATCTTAGAACTGACAATTATGACAAGACTTTAAAATCATTATTCTAGGATTCAAGGTAAATTTAAATAAAAGTTGTAAACTAGAGTGATATATTAGAGATATGCAGTATTCTGAAGTCATATATATATAATTTTTAACTCTTAGCACAAGTTAAAGTATATTTTAGTTTATAGTTTCTTTTTGTTAGATAACTCTATATATAAATTTCTATAACCATATACCTGGTTAGCAGGTTTTTATATCTGTAGACAAGTTCTCTTAGATTTTAGAATAGTTTTTTTAGATTCCTTTATGTTCTGGTTATTTTTTTATATATTTGTTTTTTACTTTCTCTATTTTTGTTTCATCCTTATCCCTTTTTTTTCTTTTTTACTTCTTTACAAGAAAATATATCAAATTAATGATACTCTATTGTAGAGTAGTAATCTGACAAAATTGGTAAATCCTATCTATTGATATCTGGGGCTCACATTCTCAGTAAGTTAAGGATTCTGAAAAGAAGAAAATTGGTATTTAGACAGGTTGCTTCTGGATCATACTCTAGTATAAATTTAGGATTTGCCTTATTTTTACTGTGATAATAAGACAGATTAAGAGATTCTTTATTTGTACAGACATATAGTATTTCTGATGGATTATGTAGATCTAGCTAACTGAGGTATCCTGTTGTAAAATACTGCCAATTTAAAAAATAAAAAAAAGATCATTAAAGTAAAAAAAAATAAAATAAAATAAATTGCCAATAATTTTTCAAAAAATAGTGCTTATAAAGAGTGTGTGACTATATAGAAGATGATTGTAGAGAAGGATGACTGTATATATATACTATATACAGAATTATACAAAAGTTATAAACAATTTTGTATCAGCAAATTTATATTTTGATTGACTAACGGTTGTGATCGACAAAATTTTGGCCCGCATTAATCATTGGTTATATAATTTTCGACCGGAATTAACTTTTTAATTCTTTTTTTTTTTTTTTGTTTTTTAAGTGTGTAATTTTACGTAAGTTTAGTAAATCGGATTTCATGCAAATTTCATCATACTATATATAACGTACCGGCCTTACAAAGTTCGGCCAGTATTATTACATCATTTGAGTATATAGGCTGATTTGTAGATTTGTATTCCTCGATCACCGAAAATTTTGATCTCAGAAATCGCATATCATTTTATTCGATTTACCGTTCACTGCATACAGTATCCCCCCTTGATTAAGACCCGTATATGGGTAAGTACACAGCAAAACCATGCTTAGAGTATATAGATTATATATACTCTAAGCATGGTTTTGCTGTGTACTCACCCATATTATCCATCATCATCCTGACTTAATTCTTGTATATACCCGGGAGGTTTGACTATATGAATTTATTACTGTTCATATGATATATCCCCAAATATAGTACCCAGTTCCTCACATAGCGATAGTACCCACGGGTACTATTCAATTTAAAAAATGAAATTCTTGGATAAGACTCCGGGTACTGTATGCAGTGGCAAACGGTAATTTGATCGCTTTAAATCGCTTTAATCGATTTTTGTACATATTATCAAATTGATTTATTGCAGTTTGCAAAATTTTGTAAATTTCGCAGATAAAGAAAAAAGGATTTTTAGGCGATTCCTAGGCGATTTCTGATTTTTTAAAACAATTTCGATATCTAGGTATGAAATTATCATATCAGAGTTGTTTTAAAAAATCAGAAATCACTTAGAAATCGTCTAAAAATCGTGTGTGATTTCTTTTTTTCCTTAATCTGTAAAACGCAATAATCGTTTGCAACCAATTGGGTTTCAAAATTTCCCTATGTTACTGGTACGTGGTAACTTACAACGGTAAGTTACCATTAACAACCCTGTGTGAATTACGCAAGATTACAAAATTATGGTAATTTTACAACTCTACTGCTCTATAGCAAAGGGAATATTTTTGACTTAATGGAGAATCTGCGTGACAAAATTGGTGCGGCAGTTAGGTTCAAAAGCATCGACTCTGCTGCGAACACCGGGAATATATTTTTATGACGCGCATTGGGGTTTTACTAGTATGCTCTGGTTCTAGGGCTGTTAAAAATCCGATCCTTTCGGTTCCGAGTCCGTGATTTCGATGTAAATTAACCAATCACATGCATGCCCTTCTAGAACAAAGACATGCATAGTCCGGGACAGGCTTGAGTCGGTTCCGTGTGAAGTCGACTCAAGGACCGGGTCCGACAAGCTTTTTAACAGCCCTAGGTACTACGTACAAAAAGAATGTGATTTATATTTTCCGAGAAAGTTGCCCTGAATACAGATTAAGGGATCGTTATTGGATAAGGGTTTATTATCAAAACTAAAATTTACCCGAATAAAAAAATGCCATCTCTCGTTTCACGTTTTCACGTGTAAATTCTTAAATTTATTGAATTTGATTATATAAATAAATTCATAATTCGATTATAATCAAAAAAAACTTAATTCCACCTTTTTTTCTTTTACAAATAAGTCAACACTAATAATTATTCTTACTAAATAAAAAAAATTAGTGAATAAATAAATATTATATAAATTATAAACAAACTTACTTCAATTAAGAAGACGATGAAATAGGGAAGTAAAAAAATATAACAGTTTAAAATATTGTAATCGAAAAGTATGAGTAATGTAAATATACTACAGGTATCAAAAAGAAAATAAAATGGGATATAAAAATCTAAGATGGATTAAGAGATTAGGTTTGAATGGTATGTAGCAGTATCTGATGAGTAAACATATTTCATATTTTAAAATTTAGGAGCTAGCTCTTCTTGATATTTATGAATCAACTCGAGCATCTGATCATTTTCACCTTTCAATTGTTCATTTTCTTTACGAAGAATTTCCAACTCTTTATTCAACGTTTTAGACTTTGCCTACAAAATAGTAAAGAAAAATGGCATTTATTAAAGCTTCACGTTTGTCGAGTATCTAAAGTTTCATAAATTGTACATACATCATGCTGATCATTTTCGTCTTCAAGCCATTTATTTTCCATGGCCTTGTTCTTTATTTCTACATCTTTTTCCTCAATTTTACGAGCATGCGCCAATTCGAGTTCATCCATCTTTTCTTTCAGTTCACGAGCATGTGCTAATTCGAGTTCATCAATCTTTTGGTTGTACTCGCAGCGTAATGATTCGAGGGATTCTTCGCTCTCTTTATTTTTCTCATCTAGAAGAGTTTGTAATGCGGTACGTAATTCTATTTCCTTTTGATGCTCTTTTTTCAACTCCTAGAAACACAACATAATCATTTGTTTAAAATATAATTAGCGTTTATTAACATATAAATACAAGCAAATTAACATTGTTGGTATAGTAATAATAAAAAAACTATTACGATAACTAACTTCTAATGTTGAAGCATGAGAGTCAACATTTTGTTTTGAAACTTCAAACTTCTCTGACAATTCCTTATTTTCTTTTTTAAGAGTTTCATTTTCCAACGTTAAACTTTCCTCCTTTTTTTTCATTTCTTCTTCAAGATTCGTGATTGTTTCTTGCATTTCTTTATCAAGATTCGTGAGTGTTTCTTGCAACTCTTTGCTATGAGACTCCCTAATTTCATATTCTAATTTTTTCAATTTTCCTTCGTATTGAGTTTTCAATTCTTCAATTTCCTTTGCATGGGTAGATTTCAGATCATCAAGTTCTTTAGCATGAATAGCTTTTAATTCCTCAATTCCTGTGTCAGGGGAATTGTTTGTTCCTTCAATTTTAACCCTTAATGTTTCGAACTGAGCTTCATAATCGGTTTTCAATTTCTCTAGCATAGAATCATGATTCGCTTTAAGATCTTCAAATTCGGTATCCCTCTTTTTTGTTAAACTCTGCAAGTTTGATAATTGGGTCTCATACTTTTGTACAAGACCTTCATCAGCTGATGTCTTTAAAGTTTCAATTTCTTGGGCATGATGGGATTTAAGTTCTTCAATTTCTCTAGAATGCTTTAATTTAAGATCCTCAATATCTTGAGAATGCTGAGATCTAAGGGCTGATAGCTCTTGGACGGCTGCGTCATTTTTGGTTTCAAGATTAAATCTGATAGAATTTAATTCCGTACTATGTGTTTGTTCAAGTTTTTCGATTTCTTCATTATGCTGGATCATGAGTGTTTCCTGATAATAAAAGTTTTTTAATAATTTAACACAGAAGATAAGTTCAACATAATATGCTTATATACCTGAATTTCATTCCTTGCTTTCTCAATCTCTTTATCGTGTTCGGATTTCATGAGTTCCAATTCCTTAGCATGAGAATCCTTGAGTTCAGCAATATCATCGGCATATTGCACTTTCATTTTTTCGAAAGCAACAGCCGTCTCTCCTTGAGTTGACTTACAATAAGAAAACCCAAAACTGATTAGCTATCGGATAGATTTAAATAAAGGGTTGCAGGTCATAACCTTTGATAAACCCATACAGGTTGTAATCCTGACATTCAAATTCTTAATGCAAATCCATATTATGTTTTAAGGATTTTGAATGTCAGCATTATAACCTTTCAGGATTCTGTTTGTCAAGATTTTGACCTGTAATCTTAATAAAGAAGTGTTAATATCTGTCATTAAAAACTTACCATGGCTTCCTTTCTAATTTGTTCTTTTACCTGTTCCAACTCTTGTTCTTTTGCTTGTCCCAATTCTTCAAGCTGACTTTTGACAGACTTAAAAAAAAAAACAAAAAACATGAGAATAATGTATA